ACAAATTTCTTTTGGAGTACGCAAAACAGTGCGTGGATCTTTCGGAAGTAATAATGTAGTACTAACGTAGCCTTCATTCAAAATCAACAGAAGCTGTTTTAAAGCAGTTTGGGTAATATTGTTTCCTAGGGACCACGTTTTTAATTGTTTAGTTAGTGCAGTAATTTTTTCAATATCACTAAATTTTTCTTCCTCTTCTTCTTCATCTTCTGACGCACTAAGTGGTATGGAATCGAAAAAATTGTTATTTACTTGTGCTTTTTCTTGTTCTTGTTCTACGGAACCCTGCTGTGCCTCCACTCGAACTTGACCAAAATTACTCGTATTATGGCTATTTATATATTCTCTTTGTAACGAATCTTCTTTATTTTCCTATTCTTAGCTATTTATTCCTATCTTCAAATTTTCTAAGTTATTTGTATTGGCTAAATGTGTGACATACTTTTTTCAGGTGTATGTAATTTTAACGGAAGACATGGATGTTTAAAGTGTACGACGGTTGGAGAATATTCGCATACATCTCATACTGTAGTCTTCTCTACCAAGGAAGATTCTCCAAGAACAGATGAAAATTTCAGAGCTAAACTTTACGGAGGTCATCATAAAATAGATTCTCCTTTACTACAATTGCCAATTGATATGGTAGAAGATTTTCCAGTAGCAGATTCTTTGCAACTCATAGATCTGGGTATAATGAAGAGGCTGCTTATTGGGTGGCGAGATGGCAATTTTGGAACATATATGACTAAGCTGTGTGCACGAGATATTGAAAACCTCGAGGCATTTTTAAAAAACTGTAAATTACCGTCTGAGATCCACCGGGCAGTAAGAAGTATAGATTGTCTCGCTTATTGGAAAGCAAGTGAAATTAGAATTTTTTTTATTATTTAAGCGTTATCATATTGTCTGATATCCTTCGTGTTGATGTTGTTGAACACTTTTTGAGTATATTTTGCTCTATTACGATATGTTCCAATAAATGTTACACAACTTTACTACCACTTGCCAGAGAAATGCTGAAACATTTTGTAGATCAGTATAAATATTTCTATGGTTCTCATTATATCACCAGTAATGTGCATAATTTACTCCATATTGTGGACGAAGTTCAAAAATTTGGCCCTCTTCACAACTTCGATGCGTATCCATTTGAGAATCAATTATATTTAATCAAGAGAATGTTAAGACAGGGTGACAAACCTCTGGCACAAGTTGCTAAGAGAATTTGTGAGAAAAGTACAATTAATCTTTTGATGACAGCAAAAACCACGAATAATGTACCCCTACTTGATAACTAGTAAAAGTAATCGTAAAATTCACTTCAAAAACTTTGTCCTCTCTTTAAAGCCAGAAGATAAATATTTTATGACTCACAATGATGATATATTTGAATTAAAAGACTTGTCCCCTGGTAGTGAAAAAGAGGTTACCATAAGTGGTAAAAAAATTTTGAACAAATATATCATATTTGACTTACCGATTAAGTCATCGTTTTTAAGTATGTATAAAGTAAAAGAACCTTATGTTGTCTCTGATGATGTTATAGTAATAAATCCAAATGAAATCAAATGTAAATTAGTTTGTATTAGTCATAAAGATATAATATACTTTCTACCATTATTACATACGCTGTAGGTACTCAAATGATAAGCAAACTTTAATTTGAAAATTTCTTTATTAAAACAGTAAAAATTTAAGAAAAGATTGTTGTACAAATATGGTTTTTAGAAACAAAATATATGTTTGCTTTCACAATATTTTCTGAAATAAATACTCTGTATGTGAATTATGAAAAAATCAATGAAGAGAATATTATTTATCCATCATAATATTAAAAATGCTTTCTTTAGCTTAGATTGCTATAAAAAAACAAATAAGTATACCTAAACTAACTATGGTAACTAATACAATTTAACATATTATGTTGTACTTAACAAAGTAATTGTTTTGAGATAATACAGCCTTACGTATTAGTAGGTATATTTTTCACCTATAGGTATATACAACGTAACAAAACCCTGTGGTTCCCGTTAAGTATGTTATCAGGATCAGTATTTAAACCTATAGAAATAACTCGTTTTTAAATTTTATTAAAAAAATATTTTATTTTATGTCGTTTTATTGCCTCTTACTGACACTAGCCGATGCTAAAGCTTAGTAAAGCGAGGTATTTGACAATCCTCTTACTCCACCGATAATGCAGAGGTAATAAAACCACATACAATTCGCATACAATTTTTTTTAATTAAAATAAAAAATATTGTTCGAGTTTTTACAAAAAAAGTTATTTCTATACGTTTGAATAATGATCCTGATAGGGTTTTAGTTACATATTGTATATCTAATAACTTGATCTACATAATAAATATTAACCTACAAAAATATTTTTAAAAATTCGGTAATGTCTAGTAATTACTTCAATCAGTCTCGATTTCCAATTATAGCCTTACATATGACAAAATAAAAATAGATAAAAATAATACTCTAATAGCTTTAATCTTTACATAGTTTTCAGAATATCAAACGAAATAGTATAATATATAATAAATATTTATAATTGCTTAATGTAACGATTCCTTTTCTTCAATTTCAGACACTTGTCTCCTTTCCAATTATAACGTTACTATTATATTTGGCGATGTCTTTTGAGATATTTTTTATAACATCGCCTTCTTTATTTTCCTTTGTGTGTTCTTCTACTGAATCATTTCTTTTCTTCTTATTTATCGTGTTTTCTTCTTCGTTTATCTCATTCTCACTTTCACCGTTATCAGAAGTTACATTTGTCTCATTTTCTTCTGAAAACTTCATACGTTTCAAATTATTTTTGGGTTTCGAACGTTGCCTTGATGTTGAAGCTCTTTCAAGTTTTGCAATTTTTCTTTTTTTGGCATTTTTCAAAATCGTTTTGAAAAATAATTCATTATCTTTTAAAGAATATTCCTGATCCCAATAGTGCACCATATTCCAGAAAAAAGACAAGACATGTTTATAACCTTTTAAAGGAATTTTCAAATCTTCACCTCTGCTGCCCCCACTCCATGAGCACTCACAAATAAATTTCCTTGTAAACATAACATCAACAAGCATATAAGCACAGTCTATAGCTTTACCTCCAGAACAAAGTATAGAATATCTATTTTTCAAACAGTCTCTATTGTTTGGGTCCGATAACTGATTTTCGAGTTCATCTAACTCCTGGGCGCTGTCAACTGGCTTTTCATATATTGGAATATTTTCAACATGGCCTTTGCTGCTATTTAAAGTTTGCACGTCTTGATTATACGATGAAGTTATTTGAAATACTGCGTCTTCCATTTGCACAGACAAAGCAGACACCTTTTGAATGAAACTATTTTGCACATTTTTTAGAGACTGAATCTGGGCGATAATTGCCGAGTTATTATCCAGTTGCTGCTGTCGATTTTGATAAATTTGGCTTAGAATAGTTGCTTGGTTATCTAATATTTGTTTTTGGTTCTCAAACATTTTACTGATGTCAAAGCTTACTGAATCCTGTACTAAAGGTGTAGTATCATTTGAAAAGACTTGAGATGTATTTGTTGAATTTGCTTGAATATCCTCGGTATAAACTAAGTTATAGTTTAATTCAATCGGCAAGTCAGCGGACGATGACGCTATGTCTGTGTTACGGTTAGTCAAAACAACATTGCCCATCTGAAACAAAAAAGAGCCGGTAAAATTTTATTAAACAAGACTTGACAAAGAGTTTAAAAATAAATCGACTAAATGTTTAAAAAACATTAATTCATTCTTTATAGGCTACTAAAGTCATAACCTTCATTTAATATGTAGTTCTTACCATATCTTGTGCTATTGGATTCAGATTTAAAGATTTGTTATGTGAACGTCGCCGCTGCGTATAATTATCGACATCGTCCTCCGTATCACTGTGCTTCAGCATTTCAGATACAAGCTTTTCTCCGTTTTTCGTAGCTTAATACATCGGTCCGTTTTACTTTACATTTTATTACGTCCCAGTCTAGCGTTGGTGTTGAATTTTCATCTTTTAAATACTTTGATATGCATTTATTTGGATATCTGAGAATATTGTTAGATTCCCAACCCGATGGAATAGTAAATAATTTATATTTCTTTCCCTCCAAGGTTTGAACAACTTTGAACGGCATGCTGAAACAATAATAATAACAACTTAGTACACAAATTCAGACAACGGAAAACATACGTAACACGTATATACGTAATTACTCAAGGTATAACAAATTGTCCCAATAGAGAAAATCTTTCTTCATCAATTTACATAGCGTGCCAATTATTATTTTTTTTATTTTGACCCACATTTTGGTGAAAGTTGTTAACTTTAATTTATCCTCCACCTCCACACGTATCCCTTAGATATTTCGTTACAACCTGATAAACATAGATCATGTCGTTTGCGGCTCTAAAAGCAAGCATTTGTGGCCAATAAGAACGTTCATATATAAAAAATAATTAAAAACAATTACATAATTTCAATTTTCATAGTTACGAAACTGCAAGTGACATTGAATCGGCGATTAAAAAAATCATAACATTGTACGTAGTTGTATATGCAACCCTTAAGAAACACTTGCACTAGCACTTCTTACTAGTTTGTGCTTAAGAAACTTAAAAACTATTAGGTATTACTGGATTTACCGAAGTCACATTTGCCATATGGATGAAGTCGCGGGTAGTTAAAACAAAAAAGTTGTCCCAATAGTGTTTTTGTACATAATAGTACCACGTCATAGGGGCGAAAATAAAGATGAGCTAAACAATATGGTAGATATCTATACCTACATAGAAACAAGGTCTACCTACTTCCACGTACCTATTTCAACACAATATTATATAAATAAACAAATCTTTCGGCACAAGTCCCAACTTACACTATCTACCTATAGTCTAACATTCTATGTTACATTAAGTTAAGATAAATAATGAATGTTATTGAATGACTGACCTTGTACGCGTTTTATTTTCGGGTATCAAAGTGATCAGACGACACTGCTCGAGCCGCTGACGCATTGATGTCCGTTTTCACTCGTCGACTGTGTAAGACTGAGTGACTGTGACTGACTTATTTTGCGAGTAAGGAACTGAGGAGATATTACGATTGTAATGAGTAAAAGTTATAGAAACCTGGACAATCCTTAAAAATAAATGTTTCTTAGGAAAAGTGGTTTGTTATGATGTGTAGTATAATACTACAATCGAACTAATAAAAAGACACCTTACAAACCATATAAATCATTTACTCGGTTTAAGTAATACCAAAACATTGTTTTTTTGTGATTTTTTTTAATACTTGCAGGTTTTGATTATTTCGTTGAAGAACCCTAATCCATCCAGTTCGTAAAATGTTTAGCCGGTTGTATTGCCTTGGCTATAGTAAGTATATTTATTCAAGTCTATTATTGCACTGTTAAGTATACTAAAGACTGCACAATATTCTTGAGTAAAGATGTTGTATCTCAAAGTGTGTAATAGATGACTTAAGTGAAGACCTAAAGCTTTAAGTAAGTTCGCCATTGTTTTGGTAAACTAACCTATAAATTGATGACTGGATTATTCAATATTTGACAACAAAATACTTCATTATTTTTGTTAATTTTGTTATTCCATTGATGCCACTTAATTTAACATGCCACCGGCCAGAGATGCAAGAATAAATATGATACAAATTTGGGGTGTCTGTTTTATTCTTCATAACTTTTATTTGAAATCTCTAACAAATCCTGAGCGCGTTAAAATTGAGATGGAAAACATAGTATACACTTACCGTAAAATCACAATGGCTGATTGTTTTCACTTCACAAACTAAAATAACTTGAACACTTTATTATAACTCCTCTGTCAATTATGTCTCGCCATTCGGTAAGCTGTTCTTCGTTGTCACAATTTTATTATGTCGTTTATAGGATTTCTCAAACGAGACTTGAGCTTGAGAGTATTTTATATAACTATTACGCGTCAAAGTGTAAAACAACTATTTTTAATAGGTCTAATGAAGTTTTGTGTGATAAATTATTCTTAGCCGACGTTTTTCTATGTCCCAGAGTGTTAACTAACCCATCTACAACCACAGTAATACCGGTTAAAGTAATAGCTGAGGATGAATAAACACTCTTATGTAGGTACTTTAACACCTTTATACCGTTGCTCTACAGGCTTTCTATAACCTTTACCTGTAAAATCGTGGGCCTCTTTCGTGGTTATAAGTGAGTTAGAGCACTCTATAACACCGCTGCTACAGGTATTCTTAACACTTTGATACTCGAATGGATCCCATATACGAACGATATACAGGTTGTTTTAACGCTACCGTGCTAGTTGGGTAGCGACTTAAGTACTACATCACATACACATCACTCAATATTCAAAAATTCCAGTTCTCAAACGGAAACCTACGAACAGGGTAACCAGCCCCAAACCCTTGGTTTTCCAAAACATGCTATTCCTTCTACATCCACTGACTCTATTACTACTATCTCTACTACATCTACTGACTCTCTCGAGACTACTAAACCTACTACGTCCACTGATTCCATCAAGACAACTACACCTCCTATATCCACAAATTCCACTGTTTCCAATAAACCACGTTCGAAATCAAAACCTACAACTAAAAAGCTTAAATTAAAACATCCCAAATTCAAATGTAATACAAAATCTTTTGCCATATCTGCCTTAAACGATATAACACCCGATAACCTCTTACACTGTACTTTTCACATAGAAGGCAAACCAGTGACATTTCTGATAGACACCGGAGCAGGGATCTCGGTAATAAAAAGGGATAAAATAGGTTCGTCACCTTTAAATAAATTAAACATCGTGTCAATCGTAGGTATTTCCGGTAGCCAAAATTCAATTACAACCTCAGGCACCACCGAAATATCTCTAGATTATTTACCTAAATATCGTTTCCATGTTGCTTCCCTTAACATTAAAGCAGACGGTATCCTAGGCAACGATTTCATGATAAAGAATAATTGCAGTATTCATATTCATTCTAAAACAATGAGAATACGTGACAGATCATACAACCTACATTCAAAATATAATCGACCCTAATAACCAACTCCTTTCTAGCCGTTTCGAGAGTGTGATTATGTGTAGAACGAACAATATAAATTCCGGGACAGCAATAGTCGAAAAACAAATAATAGATAACGGTATTGTTATTCCCAACGCATTAGTTGAAGTCAAAAACAACTCATTTATTATCACTTGTGTAAATACAAACAAATCCGACAAAGTAATTTGCATTCCAAACATCGAAGTTCAACCTTATCAACCAAATCAACAAACTAACAACATTAATAAACACTCAATTAATAATCTTAATCACTCATCCAACACCGATAGACAAAAACAAGTACTCACCCTCATTAGACGCGAACATTTAAACAAAGAAGAATCGAACTCATTAGATAAAATTGTCTCCAAATACCCCGACATATTTTTCATCGAAGGCGACTCCCTTACATTTAGAAATCATACAAAACATCAAATACCTACCACTACTGAAACTATACTAAACTAAACTAAAACCTATCGCTTTCCTCATGTACACGAACAAGAAGTAAAATCACAAGTCCAAAATTTGTTAGACCAAGACATTATCAGACCTAGCTCATCTCCTTGGAGTAGCCCCATCTGGGTTGTTCCTAAAAAACTAGACGCATCTGGGAAACAGAAATGGCGATTAGTTATTGATTACCGCAAGTTAAATGAAGTCACGGTAGGAGACAGTTATCCTCTTCCTAACATCACATATATCCTAGACAAATTAGGTCATTCTCAATATTTTACCACATTAGATCTTGCCTCAGGTTTTCATCAGCTAGAAGTTGATCAAAAAGATATTCCTAAGACAGCTTTTAGTACACCATATGGTCATTATGAATATAAAAGAATGCAATGTGGCTTAAAAAACGCGCCAGCGACGTTTCAGCGTGTAATGCACTCCGTTTTGTATGGCTTACAAGGTGAAAGATGTTTCGTTTACCTCGACGACATAGTTGTCTTTGCTTCCAGCCTTCAAGAGCATGAACAAAAACTTGAAGAAATTTTCTCTAGACTTAGAAAATATCAACTAAAGATTCAACCAGACAAATGCGAATTTCTTAGACGCGAAGTTGCTTATCTTGGCCATATCATTTCGAACGAAGGCGTTAAGCCGAACCCCGATAAAATTCGGGCAGTTCAAGAATTCCCTATTCCTCAATCATGTAAAGATATACAGGCATTTCTGGGCCTTACAGGATACTATCGTCGGTTTATTCCTAATTTCAGCAAACTTACTAAACCTTTAACTACCCTTCTTAAAAAGGACACTACCTTCATATGGGGTGAAATCCAACAACAGTCCTTCAATGAATGCAAACATCTTCTTACTAACCCTCCCATCTTACAATATCCAAACTTCACAAAAGAATTCATACTGACCACCGACGCTTTTATAAACGCCCTAGGTGCTGTGCTATCGCAAGGCGAAATAGGCAAGGATTTGCCTATAGCATATGCATCTCGGACACTAAATAAAGCAGAATCAAACTATTCCACTATCGAAAGAGAGTTATTAGCTATCGTTTGGGCAGTTAAATATTTTAGACCATATTTGTTTGGTAGAAAATTTAAAATTGTAACTGACTACAAACCGCTAACATGGCTTTTCTCGATAAAGGACCCTGGTAGTCGGTTAGTTCGATGGCGACTTAAACTCGAAGAATACGAATATGAAATAGTATATAAGGCAGGTAAGAACACCTAATGCAGATGCTCTCTCACGCCCGCCAATTCTCCACACGAACATAAATCATTCCACAAAAAGCGACAAAAACACACACCTCGACCCAAACACTTCGGAAGACTATTTACAATTAAACTTTCAACACTACTTGGAAATCGACTCTCACACTTTTAATACTCCAAATCTCCATATTTCCCTAGACTGCCTCTTAAACGAACATCACAAAAACATTCTTATCCCAATCTCGTGTCAACTTTCCGATAAAAATACCCTTTTCAAACAAGCAATTTCTACTTGCTCTCAAGTGGACCCATTTTTAAGTAAACCCAAAACACTTTACGAAACTGATTTATTAGTTTCAGATAAGAAACAAAATATTATATTTGGCTGTTCGAGACCCACTCACTTCGATCCTTGGGATTCTGAGAGCTATTTTAAAGTATTACTCGCTTGTCTACACAACCATAAATTAAAATCACTTTACGTTCCGGACTTAAAAAATGACCCCACTTGTAAACTTAAAGGAAACGAACAATTACACATAACAGCTTATTTAGCCGACCTTTACGAATGCAAGATCACCATATGTGAAAATAAAGTTAAAACTCCAGCTCCAGAAGAGATAGAATCAATCCTTAAAACCTTCCATGATGATCCCTTATCAGGACATCGCGGCATTATCGAAACGACACACAAAATACGATCTGAATATTTCTGGAAAGGAATGACCGATACTATTAAAAATTATATAGATAATTGCCAAATATGTCAACGAAACAAAATTCGTAATAAACGTAAGACATATAAAGCTCCCATGGTTATTACTTCTTCTTCCACTGAACCTTTTGAACGCGTAACTATTGACTTAGTCTCCTACTCAGACATAACTAACGACTTTAATAAATACATACTCACACTACAAGATGACTTGACTCGTTTTGTTCAAGCATACCCTATTCAAGATAAACAAGCAACAACAGTAGCCAAATCCCTTCTAATTTTCTGTCAACATTACGGCGTACCTAAACGTTTCCATTCCGATCAAGGTACAGAATTTCTAAACAGCGTAATCAAACAATTGATGAAATTACTAGGATCCACTCACACAGTTAGTACCGCATATCACCCTCAGACTAACGGTTCTTTAGAACGATTCCACGTAACATTACGCGACCACATCCGAATGTACCACAAACGTAACCAATTTAATTGGGATCAAATCGTACCATTCGCCGTTATGTGCCATAACACATCAATAAATCAATCCACAAAATTCATACCACACGAATTACTCTTTGGCTACAAACCGCGTTCGCTTTATTCTCTAAAAGCTAATGACGACTATACAACTCATGACTACCTAAGAGATTTAAACGAAAGACTCAAGGTATCCCGTAACATAGCTCGCCAAAACGTTGAATCAATGAAAGAAAAGGCAAAAGAGCGATACGACAGTAATATTAAAAATATAGCCAAATTTAACGTAGGTGATAAAGTTATGCTCAAAGTCCCAAGTCCAAACAACTTAAATAGCCTTTGGGACGGCCCTCATGTTATTGTTAGAATAGGTTTTAATGAAAATTATGTTATACAAAAATCTAGAAAAAACCAACTAGTACATGCAAATCGTTTAAGACCATTGCATGACCACTCCACCATCATAACATTTACTCTAAGACTAGATCGTAATTATTCATAAATATTTTGCTTTATTTCTATTGCAGGGCGGCTCAAGTAATGGCACACCCTTATACCTTTAACAATAAGACTCTTGGTTTAAATGAAAATCTTTTATATTTTAATAACAACACATACATTAATTTTACAATTTGTTTTATTATAAAATTATTACTTATATCCTTTTGTACAAAGTTTACGTATCTTTAAATAATTATTATACTACTAAGCTTAAAATAAATTAAAACAATTATTTAGGTTTATTTTTAATTACCAGGTATTCCACAACTATTGTTGATAGGGATACCCACATAAATTTATTTACTCTAGTCTATTTCTAAAATTATTTCGTAATACTAATATTTGAAATTTCTTTTATTCCTAG